ATATTTAAATAAATGATATATAGTACATATGTATTTATAGTCTGCAAAGATTTAAATTATTTTTCAAAGCATTAAATAAAAATACTAATAAAACTACACACACACACATATATATATATATATATATATATATATATATATATATATATATATATATATATATATTTTTTTTTTTTTTTTAAGGGTATTTTAGTGTATTGCTTTCACAAACTTATAAAGCATATTATTGCCATGGCATATAACGCACAATGCTTCTCCAATCCAGTTCTAAGAATCTGAGTTCTATGAATCTGAGTCTTTCATAATACAAACACTGATTTACTGTCTCTCTCCTCCTCTCCCTGTATTTTCTCTACTCTTCTCGTGATGAAGACTTGATTATAAACCTAAAAGTATCCGAAATCACAGACACTATACCTCTTCTCTCCCTTCTCTCTCCTCTTCAGGGCCTTTCTCTCTCTCTCCCTCTCTCTCTCTCGCCTTTTCTGTCTGTCTCTCACACGATGAATCCAGTCCGCGCTGCGCTGCCGTTAGCCTCCTCCGCCTGGTTAATGCTAGCTACTCATCATTTAAAGTTACCATAACGTCTTCTTCTGTACCCTCATTCTCCTGATCTTGGGTCTGTTTAAAGAATGTGTGTATGGAAAATGCCTCAATAAAGATGCCTCCTCTCCTCTTTCTCTCGCGTTTGCTAAATCCACTTGTCCACTCATTTTTGATCCATGATAAATACTAACGTTACACTAAAGTCCGCTTAGTTTAGTGCGGGTTATTACAAAACTGACGTTTCCGCGCTTGACCAATGACAGCATTCTGTTTAGTTAAAGAAAGAAAGGCAATTTAAATATAATAATAATTGTAGTTTGTTGATATGAAAAATGGAGACAATTATCAGGAACAATAGGCTTACTTTATTTTAGCTTTCACGTGCTTGGCTGCTCATAACATCACTCACTTGTACAACCACCCGGATAGGGAAACTGTGCTCTTCCGGGCACCGGAAAGACCATATATGAACATAGCAGTTATCTACATCCCCTTTCTTTAGTTTTTTGTTCTCCCTCTAAGAGAATACTTTTACAACTTTACAAATGTCTTGGTAACTTATAGAAATAGCAAAACTTGGGGTCCGTTCTTCGTACCTCACTTAAATGATCTAAGATGATTTTGCCGATCCTGGATCTTTTCATCTTGATAACTGATCTCTGGCTAATTTGGTTCTTCAAACAAGTTTGTGAATCAGATTAGAATGTCTGGATGAACTGATCTGAGATCGCTGCGTGTGTTGTGAACAAGTGTGCCGCAAGCCTGCGTTTGAGTGAAGGTTTCGGCCGTTAGATCGCCCCCTGGGGGCTGGCTGCAGTACAAGTCATAAAGCCCGCCTCCTCCGTGTTAATGAAGGAGACTTGAGCCCAAATAAAAAAAAATATTACACTTGCAATAAAATGTCTCGAAAGATAGTTCTGGTCGATTAAGGCACTGGTTATTGTGCTGAAATAGGTGCAGATCTTCATTTTTGTAAACAGTTTGTTTTTAGCAGTAATTTAATGCTGGGCGTGTCATCATGATTGACAGCAGTGATTGACAGTTTCTCAAAGCGCGGCGTCTGAGCTTCGGCAGGAGACTGAAGTAGACTGAAATGTTATTATTCGATTTCTGTGTTATTTTACCATGACAAAATGAGTTCAGCAGTAAACTATAGTTTCTGACATACATGATCCTGGTGGAACACTGTTTATTCGCTAAGTTCAGGGCTTTTTTCGGGCTTTATTAGTTTGCTGATACACGCCTAGCCACCCAGATAGCAAAACACAGTTCCGGCTAGATTCTCGCCTGCCGGAGACTTATCTCTTAGAGCTCAGACTGACTAATGTTACCTCTGCTGGACCTACTCCGGATGCCTGGACTCACTGCCCGATTCCAGTCCGAGTCAATCGAGCCTGATGCGGCGGCCGAGCGAGCAGGCGCTGCCGCATGCGAGCCGGAATCACCCCGCGACGCCGCGAGTAAGTTATGCGCTGCGGCCTGGAGCTGGCGCGATTGAATATATAAAACCCCTTATATTTGTTAACGTTATTACATCCATTTGTGTTGATATGACAGCAAACGCATGCTGAGAAGTTCGGGGGGCGTAGTTGATTTTACATAAAGCGTTTGGTTGGAAGCTCGACTCTGCTCATTTTCGCGGCTCCTCCTCTGGCTCCATCAGACAATCCTTCTGCGCATGTCTGGCTCCAATTTCAGCAGTCTTTTGCGACAGTTTGTGCCCGTCAAGCAGGCGTTTTGCCCTCAAGGCGTTCAATGGGAAAAAGGGCTGTCGCGTCGTCCATATTTTTTACAGTCATTGGTTGTGAAGGACAGATCTATCGATCTTCGAAATCTGATCAGTAATGCAACGATTGGCTGACGAAACAGCAGCGTAATGACATCATCTGATTAATATTCAATTATCCATGTGAGCAAAATTACATCAAATTAGCAGTCGACGATTTGTTAAATATGACACGCAATAACTTTCCACATTTGTTGTGAGCTGCAGGCTTTACACTTTCATGTGTCAAGAGTATTTATCATGTATTTCAATGCATATCAATGTATTTAGTTCTACATTTAGAAAATATTTTCTTTATTACAGTAGCCGTTTTTTTAATCGCTGCATGGAATAACTGGATGTTTACAAAAGCATTTTGATTTTGGTAAAGGCGTCTGCAACTTTTGTGAAGCATAATCACTGGCATATTTACTGTCAAAACAAGTGCATGACTGCATTAATGTATTATTTTTTTTTTTTAAAGTCACATATTCTGCATTTCTATTATCATACACAAATTGTACTAAAGCGATCTGAAAAGTTCATATCAATAAATTTTCTCTTTGTACTTTCATTTCGAGGGTGCAGATTGCATAAGTTTTGTTAATATAACTTTTTATTTTATTAATAACTATAACTTTATATATATATAGTTAATTTTTTTAAAACTATTTTCCCAATTGTATATAACTACTACTGTAAGCAAATATCATAATTCTGTACTTTCTCTATTATCTTTGGTTGAACTGACCCAATCTAATCCTGTTTATATGAATTGAACCTGCTTCCGATCAGGTTTGAACTAGCAGAACTGTTGCTATGACAACAACTCTCAGATCAGCTTTGAAGAACGAAACGATCCTGGATCATGTCAAATCATCAATATCCAAATCCAGCTAACTGAGTAATCCACGTACGAAGAACGGACCCCTGATTAACTGGCACCAAATATCAAAAGTAAAAACAGAATTTGCTGCAGTAGGAAAAGCTGTCAGAATCTTTTCTTTAATTGATTAATGACTTGCGCGTCAAAAGGGAATCCTGACACAGTGAATGGTGCACGGTGGCGTTTGAGAGGCTTGAGACGCAGAGCAGAGACACTTGACTCTGGAGTTCATTAATAACATAATAACACTAATACTGAGATGGTTCAGGCGTTTTAGAATGACCAAAACAAAATTTTAGATGTTTTAGTGTGCTCAGCCTGCTAGTTAGTCCATTCGCATGCATTTTTATCATCACATGATCTCTTATAACAATCACATGACTTTTTTTAATGCACATGCTGGAATTTGTTCGATAAAAGTGGTTCCATCGTAATTTATGCCCATCTTTTCTTATCAAATAAAATTTTATCTTACTCAGTTTTTTTATGAGCATTTTTAAAGTTTATGCGCATATTGGTGTTTCCATCAACTTTTTTTTAATGCGCATATCCAAAATGTACATAAAATAGATGGATGAAATGTAGCTATTGACGCTTATAGCTGGAAAGACCTTCAGTCTGTCTGCTCAGAAGTTCTTATGTTTCTTATCATCTGAAATAATAGGATTTCTTGATTGATCAAAACACATAAATCCAATCCAATGTCAGATTTTTGGTGGATTGCATTCAGAAAGCAAAGCACATTATTTGTTATACTGGTATTATTTTAAACACTTCTGTGAAGGTTTTGGTCGATTATGGTCTTGACGAAAAATAAAATTATGCAAAAATTGGTTTAGGGATATGTAATAGAATGGAGAATAAAAAGGTGGTGTGTGTGTGTGACTAGGCATGGGACGATAACCGTTTTCACGGTATACCACAGTCATGAAAAGTCAAGGTTTCAAAAGCCTGACATGTTTACTGCTCCAAAAATGTGTAAATGTTTCTCAAAATAAAATAATTTGTGTTTTTTACCCAGACATTTAAAAAGAATATATAGTTTAGAGCAGTGAGCACAATACCGTTGTAAGGCTTGAAGCTTATGCTGCTATTCTGAACCAATAATCGGAAACAGAAAGCAGTTGAAGGATGGCGTGTTTAAATCCATTATTTATCTGACTCCATTGTAATTAATCTGACTCCATTAAAGTTGTTATCATCATTGATAAAGAGAAAGAATCTCCACGTCTTAAAGCAGGCAAAATTGTTTATTAAGTTACATGTTTAAATATACAGACATTAGAATGAAACAAACTAACATACTGTATAAAGAAATTAGCTGTAACATATGCACTGCTGAGCAACAAACACAGTGAAACTGCCTTTGTTAGCATATGAGGCTACGCACTGGTGTGCGGGAGATGCAGAGTAAAAGCCATTCTCCCAGATCAACAGTTACCTTTCCCTAATATACCCTGAGCAAAGCATTGTCAAACATGAGTGAAAACCAACCCCCAAAACCAGATGAACATGAGAGCAAAGTTGAAGAGATAAAGTGGGGGAGAAGTACATTACATACTCTCCTCAGGCCATGACCCAACAATAGTAAATATATTGTAGATTGAAATACAATTAATCAATGTCTCTGTTGATTTCATCACTACAACACTGAAGTCATAATATATATATATATATATATATATATATATATATATATATATATATATATATATATATATCGGCCCATACCTATGTGTGACAGCAGTGCATTCCCAATGCTTTCAGTCTGAACGAAATAACTCCACAATCCTTCATAATATATTTTTTTTTTATTTTGTAATATGAGAGAAAAAAAACCCTTACTAATCTATTAAAAAAATCAGAACAAAGTTAAAGAAAATTGGCACTGTCTCTAATGGGCTATATGCACAGTCAGCAAGTGTTCTGTCACAGATAAACTTCCGGTAAACGGTTAATGTGATTCATAAGATTCCTTTAACAGCATCAATGTTTTAACAATTGAAATATAGTCAGTTAAATAGACTAACACATTCATTAAGTTGTTCAAGTGCAAAATGAGATGGAAGACCGTTTAGCAGCAGACATTTTCAAAAGACATTGTGCAGATCTATGGAATTCAGTGCTTCTTGTTTGGTCTGAGGCCCACATTATATTGTAAACAAATCAGGCAGTGGCGTATGTGAAAGCAGATCATAAACGCTGTGATTTTATACTGGCATGACAATTCACCGGAAGTGCTTGAGCTGGCTCACTAAAAATTAAAAGCCCTTGTGCATATTAGGGTTGGGCGATGTCGACCAATTAAGTGCAATGTCTAATGTAAAACATTGCGGTGGACGATGGCATTGTTGCCATAGGCTGCAAATCAATTATGAATTAATAATTAATTAATTCATAACAAATTAATTATTTGTAATCTATTGTTTTAGCTAACAGACATGCATGGTCTTTGTTTTACCCATAACCAAATCATAAATAAAGATAAATTACACATAATTTACCACCTGTCAATCACTTTTTCCAGGCATGAATAGGCAGAGTGATCTGTGTCGTTATAATGGTGTCAAAAAACTTGGTTCGTAAAAAAGGTGAACAACCAACAGTATCTGAGGAATAAGTGTGTATTTTTCAAGAGCGGATTGCTGCTGCAACTGTGGTGGGGCAAAGGATTGTGATGCCGGCTCAGCATCGTGATGTCTATCGGCCATCGGCAATGGACATTGGCATCATCTATTGAACCAACCCTAGTACATATAGCCCATTAGCTTAAACAGGAGAAAAAAATAAATGGGATTAACATCCATACTAATGCCTCCTAACGAAAATGAAAAAAAAAAAAAAAACAAAAAAAACAAGAGAAAGTACTTGAGGGCTTTGAGGGAAGGTGTTGCTTGAATCTCCAATGCATCAAAGTAATTATGAACATAATCCAACAAAACAAAGTTCCAATTGGGATGCTTGGCAGTTTGAAACAGCTCATCAAAGTAAACTTCACGGGGCAGTTCGTTTTGGCACCTAAACACCTTTGAGCAGGGTTCACCAACTTCATACCTGGAGGGCCGTGTTCCTGCAGAGTTTATAGCTGCCTCATCACACTTGCCTGGAAGTTTCAAGTATACAAAGGCTGTGTTCCAGTGCACTTTTAGAAACAAACTCGCAAACTTCCCTTTACTTGTTTCCACAGGGAACACCATTTTGAAGTGTTTCACTTCCTAAAGTGAACGAGGAATGCTTACATTGAAGAACCCTCCATTCCTTGATTTTGATTATAGGAGCGAGTCTGCTTCATATGTCCACTCCAGCACCAATATATCTCAGAAAGCAACAACACTTTAGTTCCAAAGTGCTCAAGGGTTTAGTACATTACATTTAAAACTATTCAGACGTTTCACCAGTCGTGGACTCTTATGTGATGTAATAATTGGCACGCATCTAAAGGAGGGTAGTGAAGGCATATAAAAATAGAATGGAATGCAGCTCTAGAGGTAGTAGTCCTATAGGCCCTCCAGAAACAATTTTAGTGACCCCTGTCCATGGTGATTACCCAATGAGTGGGTGTGTTCTGAAACTTTGAATTGCCCTCATACTGTATATATTTGGAACACACCGAAGAAATGTCCTTGTATGCAAGAAAGCACCATGATGACACCCTAAAATCCTTGCTGTTGCTTGATGCAGAAAGTTCACAGATCTGTTGAGCAGGCAGGAAATTCATACTTGTAGTAAACTTCAGTCTGTAGTTCTCCAAGAACATGAGAGATGGCTGAACATGATGATTTCAGTCAAAGAGCAGTAATGATCTACAATACAAACACATGAGAAAAACAAGAATTAGACAGACAGACAGACAGACAGACAGACAGACAGACAGACAGACAGACAGACAGACAGACAGATAGATAGATAGATAGATAGATAGATAGATAGATAGATAGATAGATAGATAGATAGATAGATAGATAGATAGATAGATAGATAGATAGATAGATAGATAGATAGATACCCTTTACAGCTCTTAGGTATTCATAATCCAAGATCTGTTGAGCAGGTAGAAGATTTGCTTTTTTTATCCCGTTTATCCAGAGAAACCTGAGCGAGAAGGCAGAACTAGCAATATTTTTCCATTCACTTACAAACCAAATGACATTTAAAACTGGAGCAAACATACTTCTTTTGTAGTAAACTCTAGTCTGTAGTTGTTCAAAAACATGGTTCAAAACCAACAGTTTTGTTCTAGAATACAAATACATAAAAAACGTGAGATAGATAGATAGATAGATAGATAGATAGATAGATAGATAGACAGACAGACAGACAGACAGACAGACAGACAGACAGACAGACAGACAGACAGACAGACAGACAATGATGAAATCCTTACCTAACAGCTCTCAGGTCTTCATCCTCATGAAATGATGTAGTTTGGCATTACAAAAACATTAAATAAGAGGCAGACAACACTTTACAACTTTGATAAAAACAAAATAATGAATAAACAAAAAAAATACAAACATAGCGCAACAAAGTACACCATCATCCGATGCAAGATTTTCATCTGTAGTGTGGTCAAGATGTCAATATTATATAAAGATGTAATTTTACATTAATACTTGGTAAAAATCTTGATGATGTTGTTTCTCTGCTCTTTTTTTGCTCTTCATTTAAAGTCAATAAGTAGACTGAAATATGGTTTTATGGTAGACCGTACTGCATTTACCATACAGTTGCTGTTTGTGCTGGTGAGAGCAACATTCAAATCAAGTTTGGTTACAGCACTTTTTTCTTTGTTTACAGTAGATACAGTATAGTAAACAGATGTTTTAAAAATAACGTCAGTGTTAGTAGCTCTCTGGTGTTTTTATAGCAGACATCTGACCTTGACAGATTATGTGGTAGTGTCAGTCTTCTGTTTTGGACTTCTGAAATGGCTCCGAACATCTTTTTTTTTGGCCCAAACTAGTTTGAAATGACTTTATTATTACTATTTACTTAGTTGAAGTATATGAGGGCCTTGAGGGAACACAGCTTTTTTGTAAACTGGCTAATTTTTTTCCAGTTTCGGTCCTCGAGACTCACTCCCTAAACATTTAGCCAACCTCTGGGTCAAGCAGGAGCACTATTGGCTTAGCTTAGCATAAATTGGTTATTTTCAGGCATTGCATAATCTTATTGTACTTGCAGAGGCAAAGTTTTCTGATTATTGTACCAGAATGAGAGTATAGTTCCTAGCCATATCGGCCTAGAAAATAGCAACTTTTCATTTTCGGTCAGATTACAAAAGAGTTTAGTTTAGAATAAGAAAATTATCTAAACTGTTTTGTGAATGTTTCTTTGAGATGTTAATTGCCCAATCCAGATCAATGGTCTATGCTAAGCTAGGATAAAAAGTTTTAATTTAATTTAATTTTAATTTTTCAAAAAAGCAGTGTTCCTCAATAACAATCATAGACAATTTTCTTTTCTTTTTTTTTTTTTTGCTTTTTTAAAATAAAAGTATAAAAAATAAATAAGAGTAGAGCTGAAGAACTCAAGTAACAGTCCATTTACACAGGGCATCAGCGTCAACGCTTGACAGAGGGTGTTTCTGAAATTAGACCGCAATAGGCTACTGTATGAGCTTGGTTATTTGCATAAACAGATCTAATTGGTCAACCCTTCTATTGGCAGTTCTGAACTTCAGCAGCAAGCAGCGCCGCATCAGATCCACAATTCGGTTGGGCAATGCTTGATGTCACACATCCAAAGTGAATGGAAAGAGTTGACGCTAAGAAGCCCCATGTGAATCAAGCACAACACCTTCAGTCACAAGTCTTAAGTACACTTCATCTGTCCCAATGTCTACATCATTGCGGAGGGACTCATCAATGTCTACTTTCAGCCCAGTCTTTCAGTCCATGCAGACAGTCTACTGGGACAAGGTCAGTATGTTTTTTGAGAACTTATCTGCATGGAACACAGGCTTTCCGTTTCAGTAGCTTTACCAGTGCATGGTTGTTCAGTACTTGACCTCATCTGCAGAATCTGACTGGACATCACTTCACATACACTCCAATTGATGGTTGCTTCAAAACTCATGGCTCAATTGCATATAGAAGTTATTTTCAAGTAAAGACACATACAACCTGTGCCCAGTTGTCATAGCTGCTCATGTAGTAGCCCTCCATTAGAGTTATAAACTGCAGTTGATGGTTAAAACATGTCCTATGGAATCCATCCATTGTGTCAGTCTGATTAGAAGTATCTTCTACAACCCATTGTCCTGTAAAAATAATAGTTATTTAAAAACATTCTAGTATTTGCGAAAGAGTTGTGTTTGATCTGCTTATTAAAGAGCACTTATTTTACCCCTTTTTAAAGATGCAAGTTAAGTCTTTTGTGTCTCCACAGTGTGTCTGTACAGTTTCAGCTCAAAACACACATTAGAATATTTATTAGACCTTTCAGAATATTGGATTTTCTGCTCTGAACAAAATGTAGCTGTTTTTCTGGCCTGTGACTTTAATGCTAGTTAACCAAGCCCACCGCCCTAACATGCCAGTCTCTGCCTCGGCTGCGACAGACATGAAGGAAGCAGATCTCACGTAACATTTGTGAGAAATACCACAGTTAGAATTTTGCCAATCAGAAGGCCCACGTGGAATCTGTGCATGCAGAATTCTGCAGATTTTTAGTCCATCATTGATTGTTTATTTGCTTGTGTAAATGTGAGTAAATTTGTATTTATTCAGTTTTTTTTATTAATATCAGTAATATTATTGACTAATATGAAAAAGTTAATACAATTTATTTACAATACATTTTGTAAAGTAATCTTTTCTGTCTTTAATTAGATATATTAGACATAATACTTGATTTGTTTACCAAATAAAGTGGATCTAATTGGATTTGCACTGTGAACATTAAATACAAGTTAAAAGATATTGCTTTTTAGTTCATATATTAAGGTTTTAGATATAATACTCGCAAAATCATTTCGCATAAATTCGCAGATTTGTAACAAAATTCTGCTCAGAAATAGCACAAAATGTCTGCAGATTCTCTCTAGCCCTACCAATGAGTATTTGATGTATTTGTTGTGGAGTTAATTCAAGCCTTTCTGCAATGATGAGTCACAAACGTCTTTACAAACTTTACACACACAGACAGACATGCACAGACACACAGCGTGCATGTTAAACTTTGCACTGTTTTGCATATTTTGCAAATTTGACAGGATACAGGTTAATCTCCACTGCTGTATGGCAATCTGTTATGTTTATGTACAATATAAACCTGATCTAACGTCCTCAAACCCGGATTTAAGCGTCTTCTTTTATAATTGTTCTGACATGCGGCTGTGCTGATTAAGTAAAGCTAAAGTAATTTGCTGTAATTCATCACACACATGCTCTGTTTTATAAACATTTTAAACTTGTAAAACTCACTCTTGATCACATTTGATGATGATTGATGATCAGAAAGCTGAACAGATCTTTTAATCCCAGATGCTTTGCGCACAATGTGTCTTATTGGTAAGATTATAAGCATTACTTCGGAGACATGCTAATACGTGGCTATCAATCAATGTGATGGGCGGGGAAACCACACTCCTACGTCAAGTTGCAGTCAGCCTCAAAATGGCAGGGATTTGGATCCTATTTTAACATCAGTAATTTTTTTAAAGGAGACTTATTGTGTTTATATCAGCCGAATATGACTGTGGACACACTATACCTACACAGTTCTTTCCAAACAGCTTAAAAAAAGATGATCTTCATCATAGGTTCTTTAAAGGCTAAAGTATACTTCACTTATGTGTATGGATGTGCATACAATGTGTGTGATGTGAATTGTCATCTGAATAATGCCCTCACAAAAACTAACCATGGCTTTACTTTAGTAAAAGTGTATTAATCCTGATGTTTGGTTATGCATCCATTTGTCTAACCAGTTTTACAAAAAATACCATAGTTAAATAATGGTTAGATTTACAAAACCATTGTTCATTTGTGGTTTCCATGTTCCAAAAACATGGTTACTACAATTTTACTATAGTAAAACCAAGGTATAATTTGGTAAGGGCACACAGTTGCTTTTTTATTATTTTCTTTTGAAGTATTTCGTTTTATCAACAAGGTGTCAAATAAGTTATTCACTCAGATAATAACACACAACCTGCAAATCTACAATGTAATATTATTGAAATATCACATTGGTACATATTAATAGCAGTAGTGTCTACTTCTGTTCTTTTTCATATCATTTGTGATTTGATTTATTTGGGAGACAATACATGTTTTATCGCTTTTGTTTTGACACTTCCTTACCTGTTAACTTCTGTGTGTTTGAAAAAAAGAAATTAAGAAAATATCATTTCACACTCTTTGTGTACATCCTGATCTTAAGTGTTGCAGCACCAATGCATGCAATAAAAATATTTAAATAATTATAATTACTTAAAATAAGTGTATATTTAAGTGTTAAGTGTATAATTTTAAATATAGTATTAGTACAATTATTTATAGTGGACTGCTATTTTCTTATAAATATACATCAAATATTTTAAATAAACAATTATTTTTTGGTGTAGTGCTGTAGTTTAAAACATTTGTGCAACAAGACCCAAACCATTATGTTGAACAGATATATTTTAGGCAATAGCCAAAATTACATTAGACTACACTATCACATTAGAAAAAATCATTAGAATATTAAGTAAAGATCATGGTCCATGAAGATACTTTGTAAATTTACTACTGTAAATATATCAAAACTGAATATTCGATTAACAATATACATTGGTAAGAACTTAATTAATGGACCACTTTAAACTTTACATTCTCAATGTTTAGATTTTTTTTTACCTTCAGATTCATGACTTTAAAATAATCATATTTCAGATCTTCCATATCAAACATTCATGGAAAGCATATTTATTCAGCTATCAGATAATGTATAAATCTCATTTTTTAAATCTGACACTTATGACTAATTTTGAGGTCCATTGTCACATTTGTCAATATGAATCTCACATAACTCTAGTCAAATTAAAGGCATATATAATACTTACATTCTGTGCCTGGGTCTTGCAGGTTTTGAAAATCACAGTAATAGTAAAAACTGCAGCCACTAAGAGAAAAAATGCTGCAACAAGAATTCCTGATAAAGCACCAGCAGACAGGCCTGAATCTGTAAGGATAAATACAGACAGACATTATTTCTAAATTTAATGATACTGTACTAGTATTGCATTCTAGAGTTTCTCAATTGAACGTTTTGTTTTGTTTAACTTGCCAATGACAGAAACATTAAAGCTCCAAATGCTGGTGACACTGATGCTGCGACGGCGACGGACTTTACTTCGACTGCGGATGATCTGTAGTTTATAAACACCAGCATCTGTACTTCTTGTGTTAGTGATGATCAGCGATCCAGTTTGTTGATCCAGCTCCAGTCTGTCTGTGAATCTCTCTTTACACTGAACATCAGTGCAGATCTGACTCTGATCTCCACTGATATCAGCAATGAGAATGTCATTAAAAGTCCAGGTTATCACATCATGTGGATTTTTTATGACACTGGCATTTAAAGTGACAGATGTGCCCTCCATCACTGACTTCTTTTCTTCTCGTTCAGCATCAGAAACGCCTGTAACACAAAACAACAATGACATGTTTTAATCACAACAATGTGATAAAGAGAGATCAACTCTAATGCACACTCGAGGTGATGATGCCGTTATACCCTGTGCGTGCAATATTGTGTAATAAATTTCAACGAACCGGTGTCATTTATTACACTCATACCACGGTAACAGCACCAAAACCACTGTTCAGATGGTGTGAGTATGCTCATGTGTGTAGGACTAGTTTCTTAGGGCTGGGACACACCAAGCCAACGTCAAAGCAGCACAGACGAAATCTCAACGCCTTGCACTGGATCACATCTGGACCAAAAAGCTGCATGTGAACACAGACGAAAGCCGAGTGAATCGAAAGCCACGTTCTGCACAAGAGGACGCATCTAAACAAATCAGCGTTCAGTACCATTATCACAGTAACCATCACTCACCACGGAGGGATTTGCTCCTGCAAATATGTCCGATAATCTAATAATCCACATTGTTTGCAAATATTTGAGAAATGTAGCAAAATTGTAGCTGGCCGGTTTGTGTTTCTTCTTGACTTCAATTGTGTACTTGCTATGTCACACAAGTGCTGTGATTCGTTGCTGAATAACCAATCAAAGCTCTGTCTTTAGCTGACAACTGACACTGATTCTACATGCTAAGTCAGGGTTTTTCAAAGTCTAAGACAGTGAGCCTCCCTTTTGACACAACTTATCCATTGGCGCCCCCCCTCCTCCCAAACACACACACACACACACACACACACACACACACACACACACACACACACACACACACACACACACACACACACATATATATATATATATATATATATATATATATATATATATATATATATATATATATATATACACAGTATATATAAAGACACAGACAGATGTCAGACTGTTAACTCACTTTTATCATCATTTGCATGAAAGTGCAATTATTTAGAGTAATAACAAGTATTTTAATATAACGTTTTTAAAACTAGGATGATGGTTCAATATGAATAGAACAGATCCAAGAACTGTCCATCCCAGTCAAAACAGTCAAAGTTTAGCGGGTCTCATGCTGTCATTAGCCAAAATATTTTGACAAACCACACATAAAGGTCGTGGTTCATCAGCTGGTCCTGTCCACGTAAATCCTAAACTCAAATACTGATCATCATATCGTCGTCTTTTGGGTTTAAGCCGTGAACTTGAAGGCTTTTGTGGCGAGGGGGCGTGGCCGAGAGCCGTAGGAACGGAGTGAGGCCACCGCGTAAGTGGATCTGCGGTGCGCACCTGCCTTGGATCCCACGGAAGGAGCTCTGGATCATAAAAGGAGGAACAAGGGCAGAGGAAGCCGAGAGAGGACCGGGCCGGACATATTTTACTTTTGCTTTCAGTTTGACGGCAGTCTCCGTGAGGAGCTGCCGTCACTGTTATTAATAAATCATTTTAAAACTGCGTCGGTTCTCCGCCTCCTTCTTCCCGGCGGCCAAAGGGCTGTGAACTTCATTACAGCTTTGAATCGGGGGGTCTCAGAAACCGACCCATTGTATTAGCAGGCATATACCTGTATTGGCGGGCTTGCCAAACAGAAGCGAATTCACAGCTATGGCCTTCTGGGTAAAAAAGGTTTTCTTATATTTGACGTATTATTATTTTTTTTTGCTTTATTTAATTAAAACGTTTAAATATAATAAAAAATACATATAATAATTAAACTTAATAATTATATTTTTATAGTATTATATTTCTTCCCGCGCCTCCCCTGACATGCTCTGGCGCCCCCCAGGGGAGGCACGCCTCACACTTTGAAAACCCCTGTGCTAAGTCAATGTGTGAACAACTGACAGCTTGGTGTGTCCTGGGCCCTGACATCTCATTTAAAGCCTTCAGTTGTGTTTGATGCGATTTTAGACTGTTGTAGCTGAAATCACTCAGTGTAGTAATATGAAACAGCAATGCGCTCAAAATCTGCTGGAGCTACTTTATCTGTGCTTTTATCTGAGAATAACTTCACAACTTAGAAAGTTCATCAGCCAATCAGAATCAAGCATTCAGACATCTAAAGCTGCAGTCACGCTACGCATTTTGCCCCATAGACTTTCATTCATATGCATGCGAATGCGGCAAACCGGAAAAGCAAGCTTGTCCAAAAAAGTTTTGGATCTCGCTGCATTGCAAAGTTCAAGCTTGGTAAACTCTGACCTGTGAAATCGCATCACATGACTGTGTGAGACCAATAGAAGTTCAAAACATGACCTCTCTGTAAAGAAACTTTAAAATATGGAACCATCACTAGCGTTTTTAATATCTAATTATCTCACTCAATACCCCTGGCTTTTTTCACTGCACCATATGACATATTGTAACCATGGCCTAAGGGTATTAGCAACTATAATAGAGCATACTGCAGCACTGAAGTACACAGCACACCTGTAATCTGACACCTATAAAATACAGTAGACAAAAACACGACTTGACAGATTTATAAGTCCTTATAAGTTATGAAATGTATTCAATGTAATTTTACTACATAACATAGGGTAATAGGCCCTCTCAAGTACAGCTAAACAAGCATAAACACACAGCATTAATAACTTGACTCACCAATTACAGTAATATTGAAGTTCTTCTCGCTGCTACTGCTGCCTCTGAGGAACTCTAGTTTATATTCTCCAGAGTCTGCAGTGTTGATGTTCATGATGGTCAGAGATCCAGTCTGATTGTCCAGCATTAGTCTGTTTGTGAATCCCTCAGTCCCTTTATTACACTGAACATCTGTACAGATAAAATCCCCACTGATTTGGGCGATGCGAATCCTGTTATAAAAGAATTTAACGCGATCTTGTTGTTTTATCTTCACATCGGTGTGTAGGGTGACTGCATCTCCCTCTGTCACAGACATGTCTGTATCAACACCAGAATCCCTTGCTGAGGAAAAAACAGATCACAATTCATCTCATCAGGGACAATGAAATCAAAATCTACAAGAGAAAGTGCTGCGAATTATTTGTTGTTCTACAGATTCACTCTCTCAAAGCAACGTTGTTGTCTTGATGTTACGTAAGCTTGGTTAACTTGATATTTTGGTTTTTGTCTGGTCTGTGTTCACCATTGTTATTTATTTCCATTTTCCACCATTATTATTTATTATTATTATTATTTAATATTTAGAATCTTTTATGTCGGTCAATATAATAAACTTTCAACAATGTTAAACTTTTCAAAAGTCTTTAATTAAATAAGCTTTGTTTTAGTTTTAGCTGACATGTTAAGGTAAACAATATAGCCCATTTTAGCTCACAGTATTGGAACATTCATATACAAAAGCCATTAAAATAATTTTAATGAGACATACAGAACTAAGACTGTTAAGTAAAATAATCAGGGTATCTTACGTCCAATCCATATCCGTTTTCAAACAAAAAAAGGAAAATGAAGAAAACGGCCGTTTTTCTGTTTTTCATTTGCTCACAAGAAATGAAAAAAAAATTGTGGCTTGATTTTCTTTTTTTTAATTTAGGGTAGGAAAACGGATAAACAACTTCAAAATTCATTATGCATATGTAGGCGGTGCTGAAACGCCAACTTTCCTTTGATTGGTCAACCAAATCTGAGCTCGTGATGTAGCCCTCAAAATAAGAGCACTCTGTGGACCAGTACCCAGGCTTTTAACTATTATTATTATTTAATTGTATGCATATATATATATATATATATATATATATATATATATATATATATATATATATATATAGTTGAAGTCAGAATTATTAGCCCTCCTGAATTAATAGCGCCCCTGTTTATTTTTTTCCCAAATTTCTTTTTAATGGAGGGCAGATTGTTTCAGCACATTTCTGAGCATAATAGTTTTTAAAACTCATTTCTAATTACTGATTTATTTTATCTTTGCCATGATGACAGTAAATTATATTTTACTTGATATTTTTCAAGACACTTCTATACAGCTTAAAGTGACATTTAAAGGTTTAACTAGGTTAATTAGGTTAACTAGGCAGGTCAGGGTAATTAGGCAAATTATTGTATAACAATGGTTTGTTCTGTAGATTATTGAAAAAAAAATGTTTAAAGGGGCTATTAATTTTGTCCCAAAAATGGTTTTTAAAAAATTAATAACTGCTTTTATTCTAGCCGAAATAAAACAAATAAGACTTTGTACAGAATAAAAATATTATCAGAAATACAGTGAAAATTTCATTGCTCTGTTAAAAATAATTTGGGAAATATTTAAAAAAGAAAATAAAAATCAAAAGGGGGCGAATAATTCTGACTTCAACTGTGTGTGTGTGTGTGTGTGTGTATATATATATATATATATATATATATATATATATATATATATATATATATATATATATACACACACACACACACACACACACACACACACACACACACACACACACACACACTCTCTCTCTCTCTC